GCAGAATTCAGGTACGAGTGTGCGGAGAATATCAGCCGAGGTAGGAATTAGTGGTCCTCTTGTTTGGAGAATCCTTCACGAGCAACTGCTTTATCCATACCATGTGCAACGAGTACAGGCCTTAAACGTCATGATGCTGAAGACCCTCGTTTTCTTGCAAACATTCTTTTTACTGATGAGGCCGGGTTCACAAGAAATGGAGTGTTTAATTTTCACAATACGCATATTTGGGCCGACGAAAATCCTCATGCTCTAATAGAATCTGGACATCAGATACGTTTTTCATTAAACATTTGGATGGGTATTGTAGGTGACAGGTTTCTAGGTCCTGTTGTTTTACCAAACCGATTAACAGGCGCTGCTTACCTCAACTTTCTGCAGAACGCACTGTATGAGTTTTTGGAAGACGTTCCTTTGAATCAGAGGCAACAAATGTGGTTCCAGCATGATGGTGCCCCAGCTCATTTTTCCATGGCCGTTAGAGAGCATTTACACCAAACTTTTCCACATAGATGGGTAGGAAGGGCCGGACCTGTTTTATGGCCTCCAAGAAATCCAAACCAAGGAGAGTGTTTTCGAAAGAGTTCGAATATCGTTGAGACGAAGATGTCGTGCCTGCTTGGAAATGGACGGAGGGCACTTTGAACATCTTCTGTAACTTTGTTTTTTGTTTGTTAAAAGCTTCCTTTGTCGGTTTATTCCTAATAAAATAAAATGTTTGAAAAACGAATAGTAGTCCATATCTCCGCAACCGTTACTTTGCGGAGACTTTTCTGCTTATTTTGGTTCATACTATTACCACCTGTAATATTTTACACTCTTTTTTTAACACCCTGTATAACTTACACTGCAACTAGACTTCATTCTAAATATGAAATTTATTTATTCGTTCGCGAGAAAATCGATTGGAATTGATGCTCGCCTTAATGGTAAATAAATTTTGATGCGAAATTCATGTCTGACGTTTTCAATATAATCAATGAAAAAAAAGCAAAACTAGTTATTTTTATCTCCTGTAGTCAGAACAACTCCCCATCCCCATTTTTCCCTAGATGTACCTGGAGCGTCGGGGCGTCGGAGTGTGTCGTCATTATCCTCGCGCGGCGTCTGCCGCCTCATCCCCCCTCCGCTCCGTGATTGGCCGCAGCTTCCGGCCGTCTTTCATCCCCCGTAACGTTCTCCATTATGCGTCGCCGTCGGGACGCCTGAAACAATGGCCGGGATCAATTCGGCTGCACACACAATGCCTCCTAAAACCGTTTTACTCCGCTCTATCCATTTAAACGGGAGCGTTTATAGTGGCTGGATCGATACGGGGCGATTAATCAGTATTCCGATAGTGTTATTCACTGTTTAAAGTCATTTGGGCCGATGAATGGGAAACATTTTCAATTATAAGTCCGCTGATGGGAGCTTTTTAGCCTTAGAATGCGGCCCTAAAAGCTCGAATAAAGAGATACTTATTTGCTGGTAATGGAATAAGCTGCGCCCCGAACGGTTCCGAAAAGGTTCTAAATTCGATTATAGTTCCGAACAAAACTTTTGTGCGAGCTGCTGGCTTTTACACTATTATGCGGTTAAAATGGAATTTCAGGCCGTTTTATTATTGACTAGCTTTGCTCAGGGAAGGTAATTATGGCTCTAATAAAAGGGGGTATTTGTGGAGCTACAGAATTAATATACATACAACACCGCCTTACCCCGTCAACACTAGGAAGACTTTTTAAGTGAATCTTTATTCCCATTCAAGCCTTACGAATTTGAACAATGGCACCTTTCTTAAAACAAGCATTATTTAAAAACTGAAATGACGTGATACCAGTGGCGGCTCGTGACGTTGTAAATAGGTGAGACCAGTGGCTTTTTTACTAGGTGGGCAAGAAAGAAAAAAAAAAGTACCGCAGGCAAAAATTTTTAAATTTTCAAGGTCAAACGACTAAATCTGGAAAGTTTTAGTTGCATTTACAATATTAGAAAAACTGATATTCACGAGCAGGATTTTTTGCTCGTCTCTGTACAAAAAAATATTAAGTTCGTTTTTCAACCTATCTACATTGCTTTCGAAAAGTAGCGTATAAATTCATTATTTTTTAAATTGAGAAGTTTTCGAAAAAATCCCCTGGCACGTCGATTTTGTTTTTAAAAAAGGCACTTTTTGACATACGACCCGTATTTGTGACGTCATCGTTGTTCGAGATATGACGTCATCGACAATTTTTTTAAATAGCAACCCCCAATTTTGACCATGCCATTTGAAAGAGCGTGTCATTCTACATACACAGATCATGAAAAATTATGGTGTTACATAACAAAAATTTCAAGAAAATAATGTTTGAAGATTTTAAAATTTAATTTTCACAATACTGAAAATGATAATGATTATGTAAAAATCGACTAGATGGTGCACCTCCCCATTATGCAACACCTGTCCGTGCTTATTTAGATGAGCTGTTCCCGAATCGTTGGATAGGGAGAAGGGGGCCGATTGAGTGGCCAGCCAGATCGCCTGATTTGACACCCCTAGATTATTTCTTGTGGGGATACTTAAAAAGCAAAGTATACGTTACTAGACCGGTTAATTTAGAAGATTTAAAAGCAAGAATTCGTCACGAGATACATCGTATACCTCCTGAAGTTATTGATAATGTCCAAAAAGAATTTATTAATCGTCTTGGCTACTGTCAGGCAGCCAACGGTGCACAATTTGAACATTTAATTTAGTCGATTTTTACATAATCATTATCATTTTCAGTATTGTGAAAATTAAATTTTAAAATCTTCAAGTATTATTTTCTTGAAATATTTGTTATGTAACACCATAATTTTTCATGATATGTGTATGTAGAATGGCACGCTCTTTCAAATGGCATGGTCAAAATTGGGGGTTGCTATTTAAAAAAAATTGTCGATCACGTCACAAATATGGGTCGTATGTCAAAAAGTGCCTTTTTTTAAAAACAAAATCGACGTGCCAGGGGATTTTTTCGAAAACTTCTCAATTTAAAAAATAATGAATTTATTCGTTACTTTTCGAAAGCACTGTATTTCAAAAACGTTTGGATACATTTGTAATAAACATTCAAATGAGTTTTCGGGAAATTTGTTTGGATATTCCGGAAATTTTTTGGAATCTATTAAGTCAAAACAATTTAAATCATGTAAATTCCCAAAACGGGTGGGCACTTAATTAAATATATTTCGAAAATGTTTCTAATTCGTCGCATATTTTGTCCCGTTTACTTGCTAGTCTAGTAATATTTTTCGCATAATTCAAAATATTTTAAAATTTTTCTTCGGTTCTTAATTCAGACATTCTTTAACTAGTGATCTTAATTTGTTTAGAGCAGTAGTTTACGTCATTACGTCTTGAAAAAGGTGTTTGAAGAGATGAAACAATATTGTGATATAGTTTCATTATTAGCTACCTATGTAGGTAATAGTAATAATAAGTATCTATTAAATTACGTTAAATTTAATCTTACATTGTTTTGTAAGGAAGTTGTTTTTTATTTACTTCAAATTAATACCTGCCTTGTCCTTATCCTTAAAGATTTTGTACTATCCTTCACACTTACATACCTACTTACATGAGACACTACTCGTGTAGAGGTCTTTTAATATCTCATGAGCCGCGAAATGCGCGAAAGGCGTGGCGTATCCCCATAATTCTTCTAATAAGCACGTTGTGAAAACATTGACTCAGAACTAGACCATGTGCAGCATTACAAGTAGACATGAACTAAGGCGCTCGGGCATCAATAAAGTCAACTAGCGAACGTTCGTTATATATATTTTTATTGTTTAAATTAAAATAATAAAGAATAGGGCATTTTATTATGATATTTGTAATCGGATCAAAGGCTTGTTTACGTTAGAGCTCGAGAGAGACTGTGAATAATAGGTGTAATGTTTTTAGGACGTAGAATAATTTAAGCGACGGTCGGAATTATGTTTCTGCGCATATGAAGGTCAAAGCTCATAAGATTTTAAAACATCTCTACTATGCGATGCGTACAATAACCGCGAACTCAAAGACTGAAGCTATAAGCAGCTTTGAGCCGGCCTCAGTTCCCTCCTAAATCACGTTAACTATTAAATTGAGTATTTAAATATAACTCTTTAATATAACCTAACTAGATTCATGAGAGTTTTTTAATGTAATTAATACTCAAAGAATTCGAAACATATTGGTCTTGTGACATGTAAACAAGCCATTTTTGTAGGGGAGGACATTGAAAATAACTCCAAATTATGAAATTTTATTGTTATTAATCAAATATTCATTTGAAAATGTACTGGTTTTGTAAAGATGGTTATCAAAAGACATTACTTGTAATCGTTGACTATCTTGCGTGTTCAAATTTTCTAAAGACTGAAACCACTTCTCATTCTACTGCTAAAAGCTCTTATCGTTTAAAAATGAATAATGTATAAAGAAATACACAAATAAATTCAACCTTAGTTGAACCTGGAGTCAACCTGTACCTTCTATTTTTAAAGTAATTTAAAAAATAAGGCGTCATAAAAGTTTTTTCTCATTATAAGAATTGTTTTGTATGAAAATTATGTGGATTAGAACTATTCTTCTTGCAACTGTAAAAACAAATACATAATAATCTGCGTTTGCAATTAAATTCAGTGTATTGTAGATTTACACTTAAGAGTCTAATCACTAATACTGGTCGTTGCTAGCGATGCCAACTTATCCTTTTAGAAAAGTGAATATAACTTGACTGCAATTTTTGCAATCTAATCTCAAGTTTTTATTTATTAAGTAGAAACAATTACTTTGCGAACTAAATCCCCATCCAACATTGAATTACAATGTTCTTTACTGAAGGACAGGACATTAGTTCGCGGAGCAGTGGTTTCCAACATTATCATTAGTTAAAAAAATCGCTGTAAACAATAAAAAAAATCCGTTTAAATTGGAAAACCTTTTTTATGTACTTAATTTTTGTTTTCCAATTTATACTGACAGAATGATTTACACGTTTCAGGTCAAAACGGTGACGATTCGCTTCCCTCGAAAAACGGTGCAATAAGCAAAAAACAAAGGAAAGCGCGGACGGCGTTCACGGATCTCCAGCTACAGACCCTAGAGAAAAGCTTCGAGAGACAGAAATATCTCAGTGTACAGGATAGGATGGAACTGGCGGCTAAACTAAGTTTAACGGACACCCAAGTGAAAACGTGGTACCAAAATAGAAGGTAAGTCATAAAATTCACATAATCTACACATTACTGGAAATTCGTTTTTCATTTTTTTATACTTTTATACCAACATTGAAATGGTAACAAAAATAGGTGATACTGTTTTATTACTATCAACGATTTTAAAATCGCCCTGTTTAATTTACTTAAATTTATAAAAAGTAAAATTTAAAGCGTATTTTTTTCCCCAGAAAAATCTGGGTAAAACGGAATAATATTGAAAAACTGATCTTTCGTTAAACTCTAGAACGTTAAGCGTTCTAAACACTATTTTTACTAATATAACTAATGCAGTATTATATATAAATTTCGACTTATGATAATAATATACCGCTTCCTCTTCTCCACAAGTCTCCGACTTCTGGGCTAGTCCCTGTGGTTAGAATGAAGGGTAGATATTATATTATGATACATTATTATTATTATATTGTATTTTTATCTTTTAGATAAATACCATTTTAATAAAAAGTGATCAGACCATTTCGCATTTTTAAAAAAGCTTATAAAGATTCTAAATATATTCAAGGTGATCAAAAGCATGTTGTTCTGGAGCATCAAACATTAAATTTGAAGATCTTCTTTTGGGTGAGTTTGCAAAATAATGTTTTCTTTTTCCGATCAAGGTTTTTAGCTTGTTTTTATGATGAAATTCGGTTAAGAAACACTTTAAATATTGTTTTCCAGTTATACAACTAACACTGTATTTATTTGTATCTTTGGTTTCTTTTTGTTGTCTGAAATTATAAAATATATTTACCGTTTGTTAATTGGAGTTTCTACTAATTTGGGATTTGAAGACGTCCATATCCCGAATAAATAAATTTGGATTTTATCCAAATTTATTCAGAAAAATATGATTGGAGAAATATTTCAATAAGTTTTATTTCGAGTTTCTTCAGTTTTCCCATTTGTCAAATTTTTTGTTTCGTTAAAAAACATTTTTTTTTAAATTGAGTTAAGAAATTGTTATATACTTACTGGGTGATTAATCTCGGATGCTAATTGTTGGCATTAAAAGCAATAAAAAAATAATAATATAGGATGGTCTGCTATTAAGTACTTTCTCCCTTATTCTTTGAGATATAAAAAAAACAAATAAACGTTTTAAGTTTTCATTGCCTATGCTATGAAAAAGCAATTGAGAGTAGAGTTACAGAAATTCGTGCCAAATACGAGTTTTCTTCAGTTAAACACTCTGTGTAACATATTTGGATAGCTCACACTCTTACAATAATTATTGTATACATATAAAGTTTATTACGTCCATCTCTAATAATAAGAGATATTTATGCATAAACATTTTATGTATTAGATATTATAAATTAATAGTTCTTTCTAACACAGACTTAAGGCTAATATAAAATCTTGTAATAGCTGTAATAACTACACCTAACACTAACCCAAAAAAGTGAAAATCGTTACAAAGTCGTTTTCAGGATATTCAGAATAAACAAATATTTTTATCGGATTTTGGCGTCCTCTAGCGGCTAAACCGAGCAATTTTGGAGATAGGTAAATTGGGCACCGGACACCCTGTATATAAACGTCGAGAAGGATATATTTATTTGTTATTTTTTTATATTTATCATACTTTTGCTCAAAACTGGAACAAACAAGTTCCTAACATTTTATTGTATCGTTAATTATAGCTACAATATTTGCTTCTTTAGTCATTTTTTTCTCTAATATAATACGGGTATACCGTCGTAGAAATTATGAGCTAAAAACTAGTTCCAAATTAACACAATATTAAAAAAAAATAAAACAATCAACCTATGAGAAAATTAATATTCTTTTTTATATCAAAATTGATTCTCTCCTCCCACTTTAATCGAAATACGAACAACGTTAAAACAAACATTCCATGTCGTGTCTCCGCTTAGATTACATTTAAAACATACTTAATAAAAATTACAAACAAATTAGCTAACACTTTTAAATTCGAAGGGTATACTTGAGCTGATTGTGAATTATGACTTTTTTATCGATCCCGCAATCCAGGATACAGGATTGAGTTGACGTCTACGCTAATGGTAATTCCCATTTATTAACGGGCGCCAACTGTATTTACTGCATTCTACATTGTTTATCGGGTTTATCAATGTTTACGAGCATTTATGCGTGTTTAAACCTCCCTGATTAATACCCAATATCCTTAATTGCGATCCTATATCCACAAGCGATTTACACCATTATCGTGTGTGTAAATAAATTATCGGACAAAGTTAAATGATACCTGTAATTGGCCTGTATATTTTCCATTAACGAATGTGGCTGGAGAGGAAAAAAAGCTGGAAAAAACAACGCCTAATGAATTTCTTCCTTATATATCACGGCGAAGTGACGCGAAAGGTATGACTAGGGGTAATTTGCGTACGAAATACATTAATTGGTCTGGATTTGCAAGTAAAATTGATCGATATAATTATGAATAATTATATGGTATAATTGAAAACGGTCACAAAGTATAAGTTGGGACATAGCCGTCGTTCAAAGTACTATAGAGAGGGTTAGGATATATTGTTTATCTGCTATGGACAACGGGAGGTAAGTGAGGTAACTTACCTCCCTAGGGAAGAAAACGATTTCAAGTCATTAATTCATATTTTATGAACAAATAGGTAAATAAAAATATTTGATGAACATTAAATTTTATTAATTATTATGAATGAATATTTATAGTAATTGTACAGTTATTACATTTAGTAGCATTTATAAAATCTGGATAATTATTCCCCTCGCGTTTACTAATTGTCACATTTTTCTCAAAATGATTTTACCGCTCCATTTCAGTCACCGGAGGCTCAATATTATCTGACTGATCCATTAAAACAGCATGATGCGATGTACTACTAGAACCTGAAGTTGAAGTATCATTGTAAAGAATCCTCTTGGCTATTTCACTTTTGTTACATAAACTTTTAGCAACATAACTGCAATTGTGGCTTATTTCCACCGACCCTCTTGGTTGCTAATACATCAACTCCTGTATTAGCCAGTAACGTTGCCGATGTTCTTCGGAATGAATGGACTGTATATATTTTAGGATGTTCTTGTTTAAAAAACTGTGCAACCATAGGAATCATAGAAAGTGTATTTTTTTATAAACACCTTAGAAACGACAAAATCCAAACACCAAGGCCACTTTGCAAGATTTCAAATAATGTCAAAAATGAATCGATTAAGAAATGTCAAAAAATAAAACCTAATATTTATTTAATAAATCATAAAGAACTGTGGGAGCAGATAAAATGTTATACACCACGCAGCAGTTAAGTATACTTTACCAGTCTCGGACTTTATTGCCAGCCCTCGCTCGACTCGGGGGCAAAATCGTTCTCGACTGATAAATAATACTTATCTCCTTTATGGTGTAAGTAACTATTAGATCTTTAAAATACAAGGATAGGTAACGAAGAAGTTGCATATCAAACCAAGATTAGAATTTGAAGACTTCAATAATATCGTACTTCGTTTAACTTGTTGTTGTAACACCAGTATGGTGAATGAAATGCATACAAAATATCAAAAAATTTACTTCAGTAGACCAAATTATCCAGCAATTTTTACAAGAAAAAAATAATGATATACTAAACATTGCAACACATTGTTTTATCATTAATCAGGCAACAAATTATTTGAAAAGCTGGTTGGCTGTTATGTTTTTTGTCCCTTGTTCTTTAATATTAGTTTACGTTTTTCAGTCCTTTAGAATTTGTATATATTTTGATAAATTATTGGTTTTCTTCCTCCTATGGGATCAGCTTCTTCAGAAGGAATTAAAAGTAAGTGTGTTTTCTAAGAAACGTAGTCGCACTGGATGATCATGATAGCATTGGATATATTCTTGTGGATATCTTCATACATTCATTTTCATTAACTCTCCTAAATCCACGGAATCTCGTAGAAATTAATATTTGGGACATAGTAGTGTCCCTAAGACAGTTAAAGCTCCTTCAATTTGCCTATTAAGTAATTCTTCTTAGACTAACTCGCCTCTATTCAGCTAGATATTGATTATTTTCTTTATGCTGTATATTTCCAGTAAAAACTGTGAATCTATTTCTAAAAGTGACCAATAAAATCTAATTACTTTAATAAGTTAACAACTTTAGTTGAAAACTTTTCAATTGCTTTAGAACACACGTTACTTCCTCTGGGGTGACTCAAGGAAGCAACTTAGGACCCCCACTAATTAATTGGTAGACATTATTGTCTGTTTAAAAACTCAAAACGAATTGAATGCACTGAAATAGCTTCCCTAAATGTAGTATCTCTTTTTTTAATTCTAGGTTCCATTTGATTGATTGAACATTCAAAATCTGAAGGATGAAGGATGCATTTTTGTAATGTCCGCTGATTAATTGAAATTTCAAATATGAAAATAGAGCATAACCTTTCTTTATAGAAAACATGTTTTCAAAATCTTCGTGGGCGTTTATAATCTTCCAGTGTATTTATGCACTTGCTATCATAATAAATTCGTCTGGAGACGACATGTTTTTAAGACGAACGTTCGTCGAACACTGCGAATAAAGATGTCCGCAATTCGCAGTACATTATGAACCGATACTGTATCAGAGCAATATATAATATAAATACAGATACGACTTTTCTCATATTGAAACATTGAAGCTAGCGTATTATGATGAGTCAGATCAGATTTAGAGTATGCATCTATGATTTACACCATGCAAATTAAATGAATACCTTAGGAGATATAGCAAAATCAAAATAATGCGCAACGAAATTAATTTCATGTCGCCGTGATTCGACCGGGCCGCGCGGGCGCCTCGTGACCCCGCGCCTCGCGTCCGGGCCGGAGGGGTCCAAAAGTTTATGTAGTGTATCAATGTATGGTGGAATTGTGTATCTTATATATGCCTACCGAAAATTCCACGATGGCATATGTCTATATGTTAAAGATAACATACTACTTACATCCATTTTAATACTTTAAAAAATTGGCAATTATAAAGCGGTAGTGTCGCCACGGT